TTCTGCGTAGGCAGTCAACACCCAAATGTATTTCAGTTAAACAAGCCCTAATCTTCACTATACCCAGGAGACCATACATATGTTAGCCACTTTCGGCTATGGGGTTTAGTCGATCCGGAGAGCAATATCATTCCCATTGCATTGTGATAGTAATCGGTTTTGACGAAGTCAAATCAAACGCTTGCTTCTCTTCATTTGCGGGTTACTAACACCCAGAAATGCCAGTAATCACGAAGCAGAAGGAGGAGATTGGTTGGACTGATTGTCGAATTCGTTAGGGTGTGAGTTATTTTCTCTGTGAGTAACTCACTCACACACACACACACATGATGCTATAGTTACTACCCCTTCTATAGAGTTCCACAACACCGAGGTTTTCCGACTGATCGAATTGACTGTAACGCGAATATGGACCCGATTAGTCTTGATCTGAAAGTCCCCTCGTCCGTTCGCCCTCTCATCCTCACGACAATCGCACATGTACACACTCAGCTCACACATCCGAACGACGGGTGTGTGTGTGTGTGTGTGTGTGTGTGTGTGTGCGAGCGAGAGAGCGAGAGATTGAAATGGGATTAGAAATCAGCCCCATGGGATTAACCAGTGACTTTAATTTGGCCCCAGCAACAGTCAACGAACAGGGATAGTGGCCGCAAACCTCTATATTGTTCCTTATATAGGTCCACCACCCAACAATCGTTACCGGACGGCTGAAAATCAGTCGACCATCCATCATGTGGGAATTAGTCGTATGCGAACGGTTGAATTGATTGTCCTTTTAAGGCGATTGGTTTGAATGGGAGCTAATATAGAGAGACTTGTTGATTGAGTCGATTTCTCCCCACGCGGACTATATGGGTAAGAGAAAGCTACAAGTATGTAACTCCCCAGTCAGTGAAACGAAGGTTGCATGATAAGGATAAAGACAAGACAAAAATTCTGAATCCCGATTAAGCTGAACTTTTAATGCTAAATGAAAACCGATCAGCTTAATTTTAATTAAACAAAAAATAATAACAGGGATAATAAATCGGTCTTTTATTACACAATCGATAGATAGTATGCGTCCTGCAAATGACTTAGTTTCCTCGCTGACATGTGCAGAGAGCCTTGACATCCCGAACATCGATTACTGGCTATTCAAACCACTAAGTCAATCCCTAAACAAACAGACGAACGGACAGTGTATCGAATTTAGCTCAGATACGAACAAGTTACCATTTGGTTGATTGGAAGATTGAAGCCTTCTGTTTCCAAATATGAACACTTCAGCAGTATCGGTGGCATTCTGACCCGAGAGGAGAGGTGTCCATGTATGGATTTGAATTCGCACGAAGTTTCTTAGCTTTTCCCGACTCCAACATATATGCATTTGTGTTGTATTGGGTTGCTACTCTATCGAGCATGTGTCGTGTTATATCCTCTAAGATAGACCTTCGCTAATGAACAACACTCATAAATTCCTCCTTCCGCAGTCGGTTTACTATGGAACAAGCAAATATCAGGCATGGGAAAAAACGGATACAGTACAGTAGTAAAGCCCTGTCATTCACTTAAAAAACACAACTCAGGTGTAGCTTACGAGAATAAAACGTGTCATAGGCCAATGACAGTGGTGTTCCAGGCACCGTTGGTCACCGTCAAATCGCCTCACATGCCAGGTTTTCCAATAGTATCATCGCTATCACAGTCAAAATTTCTGTAATAAGAATTCAAATCTGTCTGCAGCTAATCCCTATCGGATGGCACGTGATTGGCTGAACTTGCGATTGAATTTGTGAGTATTGATCTGTATGTAACTGGTGTTTGTGTTGTAAAACGTCTCAGCAGAGTTATGCACAGTCAACCAGATGTAGTCCGCCTGATCGGGGGATGAACAAATCAAGGGTCGACCAGATGCAATACTTTCCCTTTTTCTTCGTCTCACCGGAAACCCGTCTAAATAATTAGCTCCTTATTCCTGAAAATTACTCGTACAATTTCGTTATTCATTAAAAAGTTCGTTGTACACAAACAGTACATGGAAAACATGAATGGAGAAGAGAAAACTGAGAGTGAAATGTGATTATTTATATCTTCGTTCAGAATGAGAAAACAGCTGTTACCGTGACACCTGTCAAATAACCCGGTACACGAATGTGTTTTGTGAATACAAACGAGTGTGCACGGGCTCACACTAATAGGTTATTTTTAATACGACCCCATGCGACCCATGCCATAACACGGACATGGACAGAAAACATACTCAAACGTACAGGTGTACGTGTGCGTGTTTGACTGTGCCTTGCCTCTTTCTACTCAAAGCGGACAAATCGATAAAGCACCGGAAAAAATGAGTGCCCAAACAAGTGGGTTGTTCGTTCAACAATAAGCATTCACCTGCACAACTGTTTTCCTCGACCCATACCAACTATAGTTGGTGATTGAATCTCAAATCGGAATACTCAAGTGGACCGGTTGGTTGGTTGGCTGGCTGACTGTTAGCGGTGGACGGGTTGGGTGAGGAAGCAACGCCCAACTTTCAACTACACATAAATGCACATGATAA